TTTACTCATTAATATAATATCAGTCAAGTTCAGTTCCATTCAGAAATAGTTACATAATACCGGCTCCCATGTGGAAGGCAGCTTATAGATAAGCTGAAAGACTGAACAATTTGCCTGGAGTCAGAAGACACACACCCATGCGCTTCTGTGGAGGGTTTTTTGATGTTATCCACCAACTGACGCTCTCATTTTAATTTTTATCTGAAATGAGATGCTGAGTTTACCCCTCATGTGCATTGAGAAATGGCTGTTTTGCTGACGATTTCCTGATTTCTCTTTGAGCTGCCCTGTTGAAAGTTATTTGACTAATTATGAAGAACATGAGCCAGGACCCTATGGTTTCTTCATTAAGATATGATGGGATGGATTTCCCCCTTATCACTGGGGTCAACTGAGGCTTGTGGGTTACTCTCTGACTCTCCTCCTGGTCCTGAGTGTGGGCAAGAGTTTAACACGTCACAAAATGTGGTGTTTGTGTGAATTCTTCACAGTCTACAAAAATCAGAGTAAACCTCTATCCCTTTCAGAGCCTTTAGCCAAAGCTGATGTCACTCCCATGAGTCACAACTACAAGCAGTCTACCAACAATGCCGAGACGGACAAGGTAAATGCTGGGGCCATTTTCAGTTGTAGGTCTGTCAGGAAACCCTCATTTGCGGAACAGCATGCTCTGCGGCCTTATCCCTGTTTTCTGTGTTGTGTGATATGTCTGCCTGTTTATATTCTCCAAATGCACAGCCTTAACCCAAGAGTCTACAGGCTGCTTTCTTTTCAGCCTGTCATCTTTTTTCTGTTCAGTTTAGTAGCCAAAGGAACTTAGAAGTTGACCACCTTATGGCTTTTCCCTTGTGTTCAAAATAACAACAACAGGAAGATACACTGCACTCTATACCAAAGTCTCTAAGCTTGTTGACTCCTAACACACTACCTCTCTGTGGGATCAGTGTTGTTGTTACTTTCCTCTTTCTGGTCACACTATTCATGTGTGAAGACTGTCTGTTCATTGTAAACGTGAAAAGACTTCCCTCCATCCTTATATTGTGTGCCTTGTACAATTTATGATGGTTTTAGACAAAGTCATTGTCATAACTCACCACCTTCACGTCTTCATGGGTAAATGAACTGTTTGGAATCCTTTCCAGCAGTATCTTAGGTAAAAGTATTCTGAACACAAGGTCCTTCAGTTTTATTCATATGAGCGGGTTCTCTTGTGTCTCCAGTCAGTGTTAGAGCTGATAGCATCGCTCATGACCCATCCCTGGAAATGTATACCAAAGTCAAAACACATTTGCATTAATTCTGTTTCATGAATGTCTGCCTCTTTTTTCCCATAGGATGTATTACTCTGTGTCTTGTAGTGTACACAAAACCAGAATTCCTTATGAATTCAGGTGAACACTTGGGGGCCTAGTACTCATTGATGTGTAATATGTTCCTCACAGCAAACATTTCCTCAGGTCCCCTACAAGACTCCAGGCATCCCCAACTCCCGAGTGGTTTCTTGGCCTTTGACAGCACTTGCAGAAAGTAGGAAGACCTCTTTCTCAGCGAGGGAAGCAGAGGGGGCCAAGTGTGGGGCCGGCAGGCAGAACTTGTCCCCAAGAGTAGCTGTGATTTCATGTGCAGAGAATGAACTGTGTATTTGCAGTCCATTTTTCTGTGTTCGGAATAAGCCAAAAACAGAGATTTTGCCGTCACTGTAGTGGAGGGATGCAAAGTGATCCTGGACTTGGATGTCTTCCTGTCTGGAATAAGCCGCATGATTAGTTTGGAATTACTTATTTAATCCTGTAAGATGGGATCATTTTGTTCTAAATTCTCAGACCTGGGCAGGGACATGTGGTGACAGTAGTTTAACCGCCTGCGTTTAGTTGCCTAAGCTGTAGGTGGTACCCAGTGGCAGGGACAGAGTTTTCAGGTACTGATGCTACTCTCTTGGATCCTCGTGGCAGAGTAGGGAGGAGGTGCTGACCCGTACTTCTATGGGTTTCATCTGCTTTGCGGATTGGTTCTCTTGTGTGGCATCTGCACATAGCTGTCACTTCTGTTCTGCAGGGCAGTGTGGATCCGTGGCAACCTCCTCCATCAACTGGAAGATTCTGCCCACCCTACTATAGAGGCCACCGTTTGATCTGGGCGCATCCACCTCCTGTACCAGGTTCGGGACCATCCCAAACCCCTCCACCTGCACCACTTGGTAAGATGATCTGGGCAGTATGAGTTGGCTTGCAAAGAACCTTCATCTAATTTTTGTTGTTGTTGAGACTTTTTTAAAGAAATTTGTTAATGTTTATTTATTTTTGAGACAGGCAGAGACAGAGCATGAATGGGGGAGGGTCAGAGAGAGGGAGACACAGAATCTGAAGCAGGTTCCAGGCTCTGAGCTGTCAAAACAGAGCCCGACGTGGGGCTGGAACTCACGCACTGTGAGATCATGACCTGAGCCGGAGTCGGAAGTTTAACCGACTGAGCCACCCAGGCGCCCTGTTGTTGAGTCTTGTACAAGGTGCAGAGGTGGTACCACAGACCATTGAAACGCAAGGAAAATACCTGCCATCATCACCACATTCCTTGAGTTTCTCATGATTGACTTATCATCCTTGTGTCATTTCCCCCACCTTGTGTTGGTACAGGTGTCTCTTGTGGAGATGGAATGGGGCTGTATGCAGAAAAGGAGGCATAGCGCTTCAGCAGATGTGTGCCATACACAGTCCATGTGCTGGGCGGTGAGAGGCATGAGGCGCAGCCTAACGTATATCCATCCAGTTGTGCCCCCAGTCATCCACAGTTGTTTGAGGAGTTATGAAAACACCTGAACCAGGGCTTTTATGGGGCTTCATCAGAGTTTAAAGAATGGCTCTCCCTTTACCTTGGGATCACCTGAAGCATGTAGGATACCCTGTGCATGTGATTTGGGATCTGACTGAGCCAAAGAGTTTAAGTTGCTTGAGGAATGAGGAGAGTGGTTTTTGTTTTTTGGGTTTTTTTTTTGTGTGTGTTTTTGTTTTGTTTTAATTTTTTTTTAACGTTTATTTATTTTTGAGACAGAGAGATACAGAGTATGAACGGGGGAGGAGCAGAGAGAGAGGGAGACACAGAATCGGAAGCAGGCTCCAGGCTCTGGGCCATCAGCCCAGAGCCTGACACGGGGTTCGAACTCACAGACCGTGAGATCGTGACCTGAGCTGAAGTCGGACACTGAACCGACTGAGCCACCAAGGCGCCCCATGTTTTGTTTTTTTAATCTCTGCACAATCTACTCAAATCAGAATAAACCTCCATCCCTTCTAGGGCCTTTTGCGGATCCACATGTTGCTCCTGTGAGTAACAACAACACTGACTCTACCAAAGGGACCACGAAGGACAAGGTAAATGCTGTGGACATTTTCAGTTGTAACTCTTTGGCAAAACCCTCCTTTTTCTGTTCAGCGCTCTCTCCTGGCTTTGTGTCTGTTTTGTGTGTTGTATGATATGTCTGCTTGTTGTTCTCATTTTCCAAATGCACAGCCTTAACCCAAGTGTCTATGGGGTTCTCTCCTTTCTGCCTGTCAACTCCTTGTGGAAGGTTTAGAACCAATCGTGCCTAGGGCTGAGCACCCAAGGGCTTTTCTGGTATATACCTGGAAATAACCCAGGGAGGGAGAGACCACACTCCACCTGGAAGTCTTTTGGCATGACTTATTTTTTCTGGACCTCCTCAGTGTGGAATCATTGCTCTTGCTGTTTCTTCCCGTTCTGTTTCTTTCTAGGGGATTAATGTGTTCAGAAAATCGGCAGTTATCCTTATGTTTTGAAAATGCAAACTGCCTTCACTCCAACTTCTATTTTTGTATGTGTCATTTAGAGTGGTCTTAGACAAAGTATATGTAATACCCATCAACATTCAGCCTTTTTTTTTTTTTTTTTTTTTTGTAAACGTGCTGTCTGGAATCCCTTCAGGTGTGCCCTGGGTATACATATTCTGAACTACGAGAGGTGACATATTTGTCCTAGAAAACACGCATTGCTACATGCGTGGTGAAGAGAGACAATCCGTAATTACCTGCATTGTAATTCTCCACTGTGTCCTTTGTGTTCACATGAGCACGTTCTCTTGTGTCCTGTGTCACTGTTCCAGGTGAAACATGGAGACGTACAGCAGAAACGAAAGTGTATTTGTGTTAATTCTGTTATTTAGAATTTCAGCTCATCTTTTAGAGAACAAAAGTACCCTGCGAGTTGTACTGTATTTAACTGAGAAGTACCACTGAATGAAAATAAATTAGCTAAGCCTACCTAACATGTATAGGTAACATGTTTCTCTAAGAACATGCTTTTCGAGGTTCTCTGCATGACCTCAGGATCCCCATCCCCGAACATGTCTCTGTGCCCATGGATAGCACTTGCAGAGAGGAGAAGACCTCATTGTCGGGAGAGAAGCAGATCGGGCACAGGCGGGGGCTTAGAGGCAGAGCTTTGAGCCACGAGGGCTATGATTCCATGTGTGGAGCCTGGGATTGTCATTCCTTCTCAATCTGTAGTTCTTCACATACAAATAAGCAGCCTCTGTGGTGGAGGCGGAGGCGGGGTGGAAGGTGATTCTGGACTTAAATGCCTTCCTATCAGGAATATGCTATTTTATTAATTTGGTACTCCTTCCATAAATCCTCTCGGACACGAGCTTGCTGTTCTACATTTGCACACATGTGGGAACACTGGTTTGTCCCCATAGCATCCGTTCCCCACCCCCAAAGCTATAAGTGGAACCCAAAGTATGGGTAGAGATTTTGGCGCTGATGCTGCCCTCTTGGAACCTGGTGGTGGGGAAGCTGGCAGGAGATGAGCACTGCTTCCTTGGGTTGCCACTTTTTGCTGGTGTTGGTGCTTTGCTCTGTCCTACGAACATAGCTTTCTTTTCTGTTCTGCAGGCCATTATGAATGCAAGAGGGCCTGGTCCCTCCCCAGGATCGCCTTGCAGGCTGTCCCCCACGGACCACCCTTCACCACCAGTCACGGGCTATGGGCCACCTCCTCCACCAGCTCCTCCACGTACTACATTTGGTAAGATGACCTGAACTGGATGAGTGACTGATAAAGCGTATTCGTCTTCTTGGTGAAAGACTTGGTGGGAATGATGTAGGGATGCTTGTGAGGGCTTGGCAATTCAACCGCAAACCTGCCTGAGGACAGTGTCACATATCTCAAGTTTCTCAGGACATAGTGTACAATGGGCTGTGTCATTTCCCTGTAATGAGGTCAGCTGTAGGTTTCTCTTGTCTACAAGAAAGAGGAGTTTTACACAAAGGCAGATGTATCAGGAGTACTGGTGCCTGTCTGAAAGACACAATGCTTTGAGCTCCGTGAAGGATGAGATGCACCCCTAAGTGTAGGTGCCTCAGGTGTCCCGTCTGAAAGGGGGCACATGCATTATATGACACAGACCTTGTGGTCACCATAGTGGAAGTACCATTAAAGGATCCAGTGCAAAACTGGGGGAAACTTGAATCAGGCAGGAATAGAAGGGAAGTTGAGCACAGTAAGCAGAGTTTGAGGAGGTGCAGAGGGGAGGGCGTTGGGGTCAGTAGGATGGACTTGGAGGCCATTTCTGGCAGGGCCCACACACTGGGAAGGGAGCATGAGGACAGTGTGAAGTCTGCAAAGGACTGCTGCACGGGTTCAACCACAATGTAGAATGCAGTCATCATCTCTGAAATGTCAACGTCACCACAGTGCACCTAGTTCATAATCTAAATAAATTTTGTTGTTTCCCTTGGTTTTCTGAAGGGTCTGGACGTGTATGAAGAATGTTCTGGGAGACTTGGGAAATTAAACTTAGTCTTAGGAAACGCTTGTCTGCCCAAGTTAGTGTGTCTCAGTGAGACTAAATGTGAAGGCAGGTTGTAGATCAGCTGTGCCGCTTCCTTGGCCTTCAGCCTGAGTCAGACTCTTGGTGGGGAACTCAGGGGTGAGGAGGAGCCGCCCCTGCTGAACTCTGGTCACCACACCCCTGCGTCTGCTGTCACCACCCTGCCTGCAGGTTTGCGTCTCCGAAAGTTCCCTCGCAATCTCCTGAGGTTTTGCCTGTGTTCCTGCTGTGTCAGCTCTAACACCAGCTCTCGGCGGTCATCTCAGAGCCTCAGGTTTGTAATCTGAGAAACAGGGACAATGTTGGTTTCTGAGGTCAGTACGATGAAGAGGTGAGAAGCACTTAAGGAATGTGTAAAATGTATGGGAGGAGTGGACACTCACCCTTCTCAAGGTGGAAATGAATGTATCTCCACACAGAAGGTCCTCAACAGATGTGCATTCAATTTCATGAAACTGAGAGTGTCATGCCCGAGGCTGAGAGGTTGGCAATCCCTGTTTCAAAAAATACGGCAATGACCCCTGTGTTTTTTCTTTTAAAATTCAGGTCCTACTTTCCCAAAAAGAAAATGATAACTGTGATACTGTGTACATTCAGGGATCTATATCTAAGATTTGAAGACAGTCCTAATCCCTTAGAGGTAGACACACAGATGCAGCCACACAATTAAGTGTTCATCCAAGGCCACAGATATATTGTTGAAGACAAAATACATAGAGGAGAACACAAGATCCCATTGCAATAACCC